TCTGTAAATAAAGCAAAGCCACTTCCTCGTCCGACATTAAACAGCCCCACAGAGGAGGGGGGGCGGGGAGGCTGTCGCCGTGCAGCGCAGCTGTCTGCGTCTGACCTCAAAGTGCACAAGCTTCAAACTTCAGCGTTGGCTGCGATTTTGAAGCTGAAATCGCGTTCGGTGTGAACGCACCATAAGACATAACTTCTGTTTTATACTGACACATTAACCCTAGAGAGAYAACAAGCATTCAGTGCAGAATCAAATTTAAAAACTTAATAAACTGTATTTAAAAAGTACTTAGACATAATGAAAACTGAATAATAACTGAATAATAATACAAACCATGTTAAATTTCTCCTCCCTAAGTTTATTTCCCAGGATGCCTCGGCACAACTACCACCTGGTGGCCCCACGGGTTCGTGCTCTGTGTGAAAAACACAGGATTCCGTACAAGCTGAAAACTTTGTGGCAAGGAACAACGGATGTCGTCAGGTAAAGTCGCTGACAGGATGAAGCAAAGTAGTAAAAAGATTAAACTGCTTCAATAATAAACATAGATTCAAATTCAAGATCTCTTCCATTTTATCCCAATTTTATAAGAAAATTACATTTTTTTCAACTGTCTTTGTCTTTTTCAGTTCATTGAAAACATCGGGGAAACTCTGGCTTGATGCATATCTGCATTTGTGATGAGCTGATAATAAAAGCTGTGATTTTTAAAAAAATTTTACATTGTTGTGCAGCTTTGAAAATCTGACAAGATGATTTTACATCTATGCTTTTATTTTGTTTATATTAAACTGATTTTGTTTCCAGATTTACTGAACTGCTAAAGGCCCTGTCACACTATGACTTATAAAAATGGTATTATCTAAAAATTTCTCATATGTAYTTGATCTAATTGTTAGTATTTGTACGTCCAAAAGAGGCTTTAGTGGGCTTTCTTTGTTTGTTTTATGTTTGTTTTATTCCTTCTCCAGCATCTATAGTGCAGGACAAAATTTTCAAAAGTTGGCACATTATAGACAGGACCTCAAGACAAAAAGTATTTTTCAAGATTTATATCACAGTGGTTTTATGTGTGTGTGTGTGTGTGTGTGTGTGTGTGTGTGTGTGTGT